CCCCACTCCCCTGGGAGCCCTCCACTGGCAGAACCCACGGCCCCATCCCAGCTGGGATTTTCCTTTGTGGTGGAGAGCGGGGACATGGGGAAAGTCCCAGGTGTTGCCTTTCCCATTCGCAGTGGAGGACGCTCAGACCCTGAGGGGATGTATAACCCAAAGCAGTCTTGCCTTTAACCACGTCCAGGCCACGAGGTTTCTGCCATGCAGAAGGGCTTTTGGGCTGCTGCAGCCCCTTGCATGGCCCTTTGCCCCGTCCGGCTGCGGGGATGCCCTGTAGAGCCCATGGATGGTGGCAGGAGGTGGGGGTCCATCGGCCGAGCAGCCCCCGGACGCCCAGTTCCTCGCACAGCACCGTGGCAGCGTGCCGCTTCCTGCCTTGGCAAACTCACCGTGCCCGGAGGGGAAGCGGCTTTGCAGAGCCCCGGGGTGGTGTAAACGTTGCAAAACCCCCAGAGGCACCCACAGCACCAGGGCTCCAGCAGTGAAACGCTGCCCTGCAGAGCTGCAGCCACAGTCCCCTTGGCCCCGTGTGCTGCAATCCTCTTGCCAGCACCGGCACTGGCCTGGGGTTGCACCGCAGCGGCATGCAGAGCCGAGCTGGGGCCGAGGTGTGAAATGCAAAGCCGCCGGCTGGGTTTATAAATACTTCTCCAGCGAACACTTTGCAGGTGGCAGCTGGGAGCTGCAGGGAGGCTGCGAGGGGCTGAGCGCTCAGCCGAGGAAGTGGGGAGGTTATCTGCTGCCCGCAGCCAGGGCTGTTGCATGAGTGCCGCCGGTCCCCACACCAATGGTTGGTTCCTGCTCCACCGCGCTGGTGACAGACGTGCACACGTGAGCACGTCACACATGGCCAGGCCTCCCGTCCCCTGGGGAGATGTAGTGTGTCCTATGCTTTCATCCCGGAGAGGGCAGGGGGTACAGCCCGCGGGGCTGCCCCGAGGCTACGGGGATGGGCACAGCTGCCAGCCCTGCCCGGAGTGCCCTGGAGGAAGCAGGGAGGTGGAGGGCGGGAGGAAGAGATTTGAAATAATTTCTGGCATTGCCTGCTCACCAGGGCTGGGTGTTTCTTCCTCTGCCCCTACAAGTGCAGTGGGGAAACGCAGCCACTAGATTTGCCAGGGCACAGGGGACATTTGCTCCCCGAGGGATCAGGACAGACCTCCCAGGGTCCTGGGACAGACACCCTGAGCAGCATCACATACACCCCATGCCGGGCTGGGACTGGAGATGCAGGGTGTAACAGTGTTGATGCCAGGCTGCACCGCAGCACAGTGCCCCGTGCCCACCCCAACCCAGGACCAGGGGCCCTGGGACCTCCCACCATCACCGCATGCCGGCAGTAACCCCACACTCACCTCTCCTCTCTCTTTGCCAGAGTTTTTCAAGTTCAAAGGCTTTGGGAGCCTGAGCAGCATCCCCCGCTCCTTCACCCTCCGGCGCATGTCCGTGGGCCCCAGCTCTCCCGACAGGCTGGGGCCGGGTCTCCCGCCTCCCCACGGCTTCCTGGAGGAGCCCTTCAACAGCACCCAGGATGATCTCAACACCATGCCCAAGAGCCCTGGTCCCTACGCCCGGTCATCGGACATGTACAGCCACATGGGCACCATGCCCAGGCTGAACCTGGGCAAGGCAGGGAAGAGCTTGGAAAAAGCCAAGAGTAGCCAGAGCTGCCGAGAGAAAGGGGCCCCCAGCAACAAAACCCCCCGGATAGTTCTGCTCCCCAACCCCAAGTCCCCCGAGACATCCGGCACTCCTGATGTGGGCACGGACTCACGCTCAGCCGCTGGGCAAGCAGAGCAGGAGGAGGAAGAGGCTCAGCCCATGGACACCCCACGAGCAGCGATAGCCAGGACGGACCGGGAGCCTGCGGGGAATGTCTCATGCCCGGGGAGAGAGGCACTGAGCTCCAGCCTGGCCCCAAACCCCAGCCAAACCCCGAGCCAAGCAGAGACCACCGACGGGTATCTGCCAGAAAAGGAGCAAGAGCATCCCAGCAAGAGCTTCCTGGACAGGTACAGCCCCGTTGGGTTTGCTCTGCCTTCCGCTGGGACCCCCTTTCTGTCCCCCCGGGCAACAGGAGGGGGCTGGGACACAGCGGGGTCCCTGCGGTGCCCCCCTCTCGCCCACAGTGCCAGCAGGATGTACCTGGCTGGTGGGACGGCGTGGCTGGAGTGCTCCGTACCATGGCCAGGTCAGCAGCTCCATGGAAGCGAGGTTTCCTGTGGGATTTCTGCTTCCTCCTGTTTCCGGACGGGGTGGAAACATCTCGCAGCCCCGCTCAGCCCCAGCGTCCCTTTGTCCTGCCGCCGGCTCCGTTCCAGCGCTGAGACGCATTACGAAGAGCTCAGACCTGCACTGTCGCGGCCCCCTCCGCCTCTCACTCTCCTCTTTTCCACCCCATCCATCCTTCTCCCCCTCCCTGAGCGTCACTGCCTCTCTCAAGGCACAGGAGCAATCCCCAAAACCAGCCGCCCCATCCCCGTTTCCATTGCCTGCCAGTAAACCCCCCACTCTGGGTGCAAACCCTCCACTCCGGGAACAACCCCCACCTCCAGGCACAAAACCCACCCTCTGGGGGAATCTGGGGGCTCAGCCCTCTCAGATGAGGGTTGGATTTTTTGGAGGGTTTTGACCTCAGAACCAACACGAGGGATTTTTAACTCCCTGCCCATCACCTGAGCATCTGGGCACAAGGGGCCAAACGCGCCCCCAGCCCAGCAGCACACATAGGACTGGGGGCACGGGCAGAGGCGCCGACTCCAATTTTCTCCCCAAAACAAGGTCCCATCGTACCACCCCTTCCCTGGCCCGACTCTCCTCTCTCTGCACTTGGGTGGCCCCTGATGCCCCTGTTCCCCCCACGCTGCCCCGGGGCCGGGGGCTCCTCGCCCCAGCGTTGAGCGTTGGGGAGGTCCGGGTGGCCCCAGGAGCGGGTTGAGGAGGAGGAATTCGTGCCGGCAGTGGGAGCCGGGCTGTGCCGGCCACACATTCCTGCCGGCCGCGAAGGGAGGGCCAGAGGAGGGCTGGGACGGGAAGGAGGAGGGTCCGCCACCGCCTTGCGCGCCCCGAAGTCCCAACGCTCAGTGCAAGGCGGGAGAGTGCCTGGGAGAGCTTCTCCCCGTCCTGGAGCGGAGGCGCTCTCCGAATCGCGCAGGGCCGATGACAGCGGTGGGCAGGAGGTTTCCCACCCTGGGACAGGGCAGGTAAGGGGTCCCGGTCCCCCAGTCACCCCTCGCACCCTGGCACAGCGGAGGGGATGGGGAGGGAGAGGCTGGGAAAGGGCTTTGCTTGGGGTGGGCACAAAGCCTCGACGTAGATGCAGCCGGAGCCGCCGCTCGGCCGCCCAGGTCCCCGGCCCGTAACGGCGTTTGCTCATGGAAAGAGCGAGCGCATCGGCTGCGGCTGCTGAAACCGCAGTCAGACCCGGCGCCAGGGCAGAGCGGCTCGGGGGCTGCGGTTGGCTCGGGGGGCCAGAGGCTCGGGGGCTCAGGGGGCCGGCAGCACTGCCACGTCCTCCGGCGAGCACAGAGCCCCAGCAGTGGCAGAGGGGCCCAACGGAGGGTGCGCGGGGCTCACCCAGACCCTCTGTCCCCCAGAAATGACTTGGGTCCCAGGCCAGCGTGCCTGGGAGCCGAGCAGCAGGGGAACGTGTGTGGGTCACCCAGGTGTCTTAGCTCTGGGAAGTGGGGACTTGTGTCCCCAAAAATCAAGGACCAAATGCTCTTTTGCATCATCTGGGGCTGCCCTGATGATGGGCGTAGCCACGCTGTTTGCCAGGGAAACTGAGGCATGAGAGTGACCAGAGCAGGACTTGGCATCAGGGACATTTCTGTCCCTCCATGCTCCACTTGGAGCCCCTGCCACAGCCCCCGGCTCCGGGAGCAGCCGTCTGCCAGAGCCATCCCCATGGCCGGGCCTGGCTGTGGGGCCGGCGGGCGGAAGCAGGACCGGGATAGTGCCGCGCCCCAGCCCTTCCTCCTGTGCAGGCACATCCCTGGGGATGGGGACAGTCTGTTCCCGCCAGGCCGTGGCAGGGGACAGGGCTGGCTGCCCAGCACGGGGCGCGCCCATGCGGAGGGACCGAGAGCGGCACGCGGAGGGGGGGGAACGAGCATGGCCACGTTTTCTCTTGCCCCCCCGGAGCATCCCTGGTGAGGACAGACCCCGAGGCAGGATGGGCTGGGAATGCCCACACACAAGAGGGCTTTCCCAGGGATGCTCCCTGCATCAGGAGGGATCAGGCCCTCAAAGGGGGAAATTGTGCTGCTGTGGGATGGTTTGCAGCACCCAACCCGTGGAGCTGCTCGGAGCGAGGTGGTGGCCGTGACTCCGGGCAGGGACACGGTGACTAACGGGAGATGACCCGCAGGCAGGTCATAGAGCGGACGTGACTTGACTTCCCTCCGCGCGCGGCCGTGCGTGAGGCACGGGAAACGCCACTTCCCGCACGACGCAGGCAGGGCGCTGCCCGCAGCTGCCGGCAGACCCCTCTGGCAGCATTGCCAGCCAAGACCTTGAAGGGGGCAGCTCTGCGGGGGGGAAACTGAGGCACAAGGTGCCCAAACTTGGTTCCCCTGGGCGGCAGCCTGCACCAGTGTCCGAAGATGAGCAGAGCCTGGGCTCCAAACTGGGCCTGGACCCACACGATCACCCTGGACCGTTCCCAGCAGCCAGCCCGGAGCTTGGTACATTTGGAAGTCACTGTGATGCCTTCTCAAGCCCAAAAGGAGCAGCCACCCCACCAAAACCTCATTCCCCAGTGCCACCACGGTAGTGCTGGGTCCCAGCGGCTCAGCCACGGCCGCGCTCCAAAGGCAGCCCTGGAATTTCTCCCAGGCACTCGGCTGCCCCCAAAAATGCCGTTTCCTCCAGGAATGTACAGAACCAGGGGGGCTGCGGTGCTCAGCCCCCCCTCGGCCCCAGCTGCTGCCCTTCCCCGGTACGGGGGCCTCCCCTGCCCGGGCCCTCGCAGCATCTCCCAGCTGCTCCCATGCTCCCGATTTCCTGCCCAGAGGCCCCCCGTCCTCCTGCCAGTTTTTCTCACGGCTCTCGCAGCACCAGGCAGCTCTCTGCGGCCGTGTGAAAGGCAAACAGGCTGGAGAGGCAGTGCCGGGGTGGGCAGGCAGCCCACAGCTGCCTGGGGGAGTCTGTGTCCGTCTCCCCTCCCAAATGCTCCTCTATTTTTTTCACCCCAAAAAAGTGTGTGCTTCATTTCCAGCCCCTTTTCCCCTTCCGAGCGGGACAGCCAGGGATGCAGTTTCAGCAGCGTGGGCTTGGAGAAGAGGAGCGGGGCTTGCCCGCTGCAGGGCTGGATGCCCCGAGGGGCTCATGCTGACCCCGGCAGGACCCACTGTAATACCAGTAGGGCAACGTCTGGCAGCAGTCGCCTCTGCCATCCCTGCTTCCCTTTGGGCGACTGATTTCTGAGCCACCAGGCACCATCCCTAACCTGGAGGGAGCCCACAGAGGAGGAATTTGGCTCCCCAGGGATGCCACCAGCACGGCTTCCAGGAGGGGTTTGTGTGCAGGACCCCCAGCAGCTCCCCGTATGAGGCGGGGGTCCGGCCGTGGCTGTAGGCACTAGATGGAGCGAGGCGGCTCCTGGCAGGGAAGGGACATCCTGGGTCTGTGACGCCCTCGGATTTGGTTATTTCTTAGTTGCAGCTGCCTGCCCTTGTGCTGGCAGCCTGCCATCCCAGGGCCCTTGCTGCCACCCCGTGCGCGGGCAGGCAACCTTGGCAAGCAGTGGGATGGCCATGCTGAAGCTTGGTGCTGGGGAGGTGACAGGTACTGGGTTCTGGTTAAAGAAGTCTGGATTTTTGTATTTTGTTCTGAAAGGCGAGACCTCAGGGTAGCACATTCCAGCTCAGGCTGTTACAGCCTCTCTCCCCTTGAACTCTCTGTTGTTCCCCTTGGACTCATCCGTACAGACACATACCTCAACCTACAAGAGCACAAAAAGTAGTAGCAGCCTTGCTACATGCTCAGGAAAGAGCAGCAGCCATCTGCATCCCCTATGAAATGATGGCAAAGAAGCTGCTGGATCAGCTGCGTCTCAGGGTTGTTGGGTTGGTTGTCAGTAGAGCTAAGAGTGAACATGTCACCAAGGAGAATGGGAGCTTCTATTGCCTGTATGCTGGGAGTGCAAATCTTGCAGTCTCAGCCAGGATGTCGCAGTTCCTCCCCGGCTTCAGTGGGAGTTTGATTTCTGTGGGGTTGCACGAGGCGATAGAGAAACAGTCAGAAACGCTCGTCGGGGCAGTGTGTCGCAACAGCCGCCTCCTGGGAACACAGTTCTGCTGGGGAACAGGGCACAGGGCCCCCCACCTTGGCATGCACCCCCCAGCACTGTGACCTGCGGGGACCCAGCCTGGCCACTGGGTCTCCCCAGCTCGGCTCACACGGTTCCAAGCCGATTTGGGGAGAGATCCTCTAAAAAGGCCTCATTCTTCCCTGATCGCATTAGGGAGACTAAGCCCTGCGCAGAGAGTGGGCACGGAGCGGGCAGGACCAGTGCTGGGGCCCTGGGAACCTCTCCCAAAACCGTGGCCGTGCTCTTGGCCCCGTGGCACAGACCCCTGCTCCCCCGGGCTGTGCCACCACCGCCTTTGACCTGACTGTCATGACTTACTGCCCTTTACTTATGTATTTTTATTTTTCCCCTTCTAGCCACCACGATGGCCTGGAGTCTGGCAGTGAATACGTGAAGGTAAGACGCTGAGCGCGATCACAGCCTGCCCTGGCCAGGTGCCAGTGGTGGAGGGGGGATGGTGGCCTAGGGGCTAGCTGGCTCCTACACCGGGGGGTGCCCAGCTCTGCATGCCGTGTCCCAGCACCTCCTCCAGGCTCTCTCTTTAGCCCTGGAAGAAAAATGGCAAGGCCAGGGGAGGTAGAGGAGACGCAAACCTTATGTGGTCCCCCTGATGCTGCTCCCACAGGAGCTGCCTGCGTTTCGTGCTCCCCATCACTTGCGAACGCCGCAGACGCAGGGGCAGCCTCCTCCCTCCGCCCCCACGTAAAGAAACGGAAGGATTTGAGCCACTTTCATGGCTGTCACATGAAAGTCAGTGTAAATCTCTCCAAATCTCTTGCTTATTCTCCAGAAAACTATTAACATTCCTGAGGACTCTTCATGTCTGGCCAGAAATTCATTAGTGAGGCGCCTGGCTCCGGAGGAGAGCGGGCCCTTTTGCAGGAGGCTGCTGGCACGATGGGAGCCAGGCAGGAACGGAGGAACGGTGGCAGGGATGCTGTGTGGTTTGGGGATGGAGCACTGAAAACCTGCCCGGGTGGTCACTGCCATGCAATGGCCTTTGGGGAATTTGTTTGAGAAGGGCTGGAGCCTCCTGAGTCCGGTTGCCCAATGGGGATGTAATGCCGCTGGGCAGACGTGGTTAAGTGACTTGAGGCGCCCGGTTTGGGTGGTGTAATTAGTACAGAGCCCTCAACCTTCATCTTTTGGACTTGTGGCTCTCGATGGCGGCTGTAGCCAGCCATGGAAACGTGGGAACTCCCCATGGTGACACTGACCGGCAGGCTCAGGAGAGAGCTGGCTGGACCCTGAGCTCATCTGCTCCTCCTAACGGGGGTCACCCCCCTCCGGGTCCAGCCTTGGGGCTAACGAGGACCCCGCATGCTGGGTCTGGCAACCGGCAGCCTCTGGGCAGTGGGGTCGGATGCCTCTTTTTGACCTGTAGCAGAGCGATCCCGTGGGTGGGGTGTCCCTCCTCTCCTCTTCCTTTAGCCGTGCGGGACTGGCAGAGCGGGAGCTCACGGGGCTGGAAGGGGGACATGTGCCAGAGCAACGAGGCTCCGATGGGAGCCTCGAGGCTCCGACTGGGCTTTGCAGGGTAGAGCCCTGGCGTGGGGCGCCTCAAGATGCACAGGAGACCTCCTGCTCCCGCGTGCGAGGGCAAGGAGGTGGTGAGGGGCAGACCTGGATGGTTTGGGGTGTTTACCCTTGCGCTGTCAGCGTGCGCACCCAGAGACGGGCACATTTTATGGCTCATGAGTTAATAGACTGAAACAACATGGGTATGGAGCAATGGCTATGGCTTTGCCTCTGGGATCGAGCTCTTTTCGGTGAGCCAGGAGAATTCCCTCCTCTCCAGGCACATCCCAGACCTGAGCCATCTGGCCTTTATTTCTCCCCCATCCCCGCGGTGTCCAGACACGGCCCGTGGGCTGTGATTTATACACCGCTTCCCTTCGGTCACAGAAGCAGCTGATGGCTGCAGTGACAGCAGCTATTTTAGTCAAATAAGTAATTATCTGGAGTGTGAGTGACCGGGATGATGGGGGCACTCGGGCTGATTGCAGGAGCTGTGCCTGGCTGGGAGCCCGTGCGGCTGCAGGGTGCTCAGCACCCAGCAGTATTCGGCTCCAGGGTTTGCGGGATTCAGGGTGGGAAGGTGGCTGCTGGCTGCTGTGCCTGGGATCCCTTGGGAGCAAGGGGGGACGGGGCTGGGACCCACCACTGGAATAGGTCCTCGCTTTGTGGCTTCGAGGGAAACGGGCAGGGGTGAGGGGAGGAAAGACAGGAAGAAAAGAGCTGGTGAAGGAGTCAGGAGAAAGGAGAGGATGCGCTGCAAAGCCTGCGTGAGCAAAGGCTCACGGGCAGGTCTGTGTCCAGAGGTGCACCAAGGAACTGCCAAACATCAGCCCTTGAGCTTCGGCCACAAACCGGCCAGGGCCAGCTCTCCCATCACCCGGCCTGCCGTGATTAGAGGTGCAGCCAGGAGCTAGGGAGGGTCGGAAAGCCAGGATCAATAAGCACTTGGTAATTAACGTGCTTTAATAGTAGCCTAAGGGTTGGTGTTTCCAAGCTGCCTGGGAGATCCGCATGCCCGGCTCCATTTGCTAACATCCCCGCCAGCCCAGCTTCGGTCCTCGCACAGGTGAAGGAGCAGCAGAACAGCGTTAGCCTCCGGGAGAGCAGCAGCCGGTAAAGCTGTCACGCGTCCCCACGAGAGCTCAGTTGGAGGTTTTCAGCTTCCCCCTGCGGAGGGGCAGCACGGGCACAGACGGGGGGCATCGCCTCGCAGCGCCCCATGAAGCGCCCACTCGCTCCCTCGGCGAGAGCCTCAGAGGGAAAGCACAGAGCCCGTCGCGGGGGAGAAGCCTTGGCAGAAGGATGACTCACTGTCAGATCCTTTTGGAGCAGCGTCTCCCTGCACGCTGCCATCTGGTCTATCCCTCTATCCCATGCAAGAGGAGAGGAGGAGAGCCTGTCCTGGCAGGGCTGCAGGCACCCATGGGATCCGTGAGCACCCGCCGCCCCGTCTTCCCTGCCCGCAGGCTGCGCGTTGCCCCCGTTCCTCCCGTGCCTCAGCCCTGTCCTGCTGCAAACCCGCGCTGCTCTCCTGTCTCCTCTCTCCCCTGCAAAACCAGGGGCAGAGCGCGGGCCCTGCGAGTGCCTCCGAGCTCTTTGTTCTGTGCGGAGGAGCCGCTCGGGGGACCTGTCTCTCATCAGCCCTGGCTGCTGCCTCCCTGCCTGGGGATGCGAGGGGCCCGTTTGAATTAATTAGCGGGGAGGCTGCAGGGTTCCGCGGTTGGTGGCGGCAGGAATACCTCTCCGAGCTCACAGCATCCCCTTGGGCAGGGGTGCACCGGGAGGCGTGGGAGGTCTTTGGGCCAGGACACGCTTTGCGGGTGGGAGCGTAAAGCCCCCTGTTACCAAAGCATGGCCAAATCCAGGCCGTGCCGGTGTGGGACAGACCTGGAGGGAGACCAGCTGGGTGCGGGCAAGCAGGTGCCGAGCTCACTGCGGGGTGCTGGGGGAGCCCCTGCCCGTCCCCGTGCGCAGGGCAGGGCATCGGCAGCGGGTTCAGGCAGGGATTCTGGGTTTTTTTTCGAGAGTCAGGGCTGGAGCGATGCTTTGAGTCATCAGCGCTGCCTCGCGCATCCCATACGTGAAACCGTGGCCTTAATTAAACCGAAACAGAGCCTTAATTAAACACAACTCGGAGACGGCCTATGCAAGAATCAGGCAGCCGGCTCCCTGCCGCGGGAGGCAGGCACCGGTGTCTCCCCCCAGAAAGGCATCACTGGGGTGAAGGTGAAGGAAGACGAGGTGGGCGAGGGGCGAGGAGGCTGTCCCCGACCCGTGTGTGTCACTGGGGAGAGCGGGTGGATTTGGGATGGGGAGATAAGGGGTGCTGGGTCCCCTCAGGGGTGCCTGGTCCTCTCAGAGGAACCAGTTCCCCTCAGGGCACAGGCAGCTGGGGTTGCTGGTGCCCCTCAGGGGTGCCTGATCCCCTCAGGGGTGCTGGGTCCCCTCTGAGGAGCTGGGTCCCCTCAGAGGAACCAGTTCCCCTCAGGGCGCAGGCAGCTGGGGTGCTGGTTCCCCTCAGGGGTGCCGGGTCCCATCAGAGGAGCTGGTTCTCCTCAGAGGTGCTGGGTCCCATCGAGGTGCAGGCAGCCAGGGTGCCAGTTCCCCTCAGGGGTGCCGGGTCCCATCAGAGGAGCTGGTTCTCCTCAGAGGTGCTGGGTCCCATCGAGGTGCAGGCAGCCAGGGTGCCAGTTCCCCTCAGGGGTGCCGGGTCCCCTCAGAGGAGCTGGTTCCCCTCAGGGGTGCGGGTCCCTCAGGGGTGCCGGGTCCCCTCAGAGGAGCTGGTTCCCCTCAGGGGTGCGGGTCCCCTCAGGGGTGCCGGGTCCCCTCAGGGCGCAGGCAGCCGGGGTGCCGGTTCCCCTCAGGGCTGCCGGTTTCCTTCGCGACGCGGGAGCGCCGGGGTTGCCGCTTCCCCCGGGGTCGGCGGCGGCG